CATTTTGGATAGATTGCTCTGTGGCACGGCAGGGAGTTAACAAAATGAGGGAAAAAGGAAAAGAGCGTGAGGTGAACCTCTACAAATCTGGATGGGTCATGAGAGAGGATTTGGAGGAGTTCTGTCATCCTCCTGTTAGAGAAGCCCATGCAAAGGGAGCAGAGTGGAAAAAGACCTAGTGCATCTGGAAGGGAACATAAATTCCCTCCAACATAAGCAGACGAACATCCTTTGACTTAACTTCTGCTGCCACCATCCATCTGTATAAAGCAAAATAACCAGTGTAACTGCTAGTGCTCAGTTTTCAGTGTTCAGTGGGGAGTTAAGTGCTCTCTGTTCCTTATGCTGGGTTGCTGCAGAGACGTTACACTCTTGCTGTACAAATTCAATTAAAGCAGTTACTTTACCCGTGTCAGGGATCCCAGAAGGACATCCGCTCTCAGCAGCACTTGGAGCCAGCAAAAGGCCTCTCCAAGATGAATAGCAAAACAGAGCCCCTACAGAGTTCAAGAATAACAGAATTCAGGAAGAGGCAAGTAGGCGTACTCGCCTCTACATGCTGCACCTGATGTGTCAAGGACTTTTGACAGCCAGCACTGAGAAGGTAGTGACCTTGAAAAGTTGGTGGAGTGGTGCTGTACAGCAAGGTCATCCAGAACTGAAGCCTTCTCTTTTTTTCATTCTGAAGAACCTCTGAGAATATATTTCCTGCATATTTCTTCTGCATAAACTGACTGAGGTGTCCATTCCAAGAGGGAGAGTACATGTAATTTATTAAGAAGGTGGCCAGGTACTTATCTACAACCACTCTGCTGAAGGAGCAGATAGACTGAGATAAGGGAAATGAAGAGCTCTCTAGGTGTGCTGGCAAAAAAATGCTCACTCGAGGTTGAATTAAACACTTCAGGGCGTGCAAGGCTTAAAGATAAGCCAAGAACTTTGGCTGTGGACTTACAGAATAGTGTTTTCATGGCTCCTGCTGAGCTAATTGCAAGAAAAAGCTAATTGGTTTGAAAAGAATGGCTCTTCGGCCCTTTCCATTGGGTCAAACTTGAGCATTACCTGTAAGAGAATCAGCATTTTTGAAAACTTGAGAGCTTCATGAGCTCTCCAGTGAAAAAGAAGATGTTGGTGCCAATGCATCCAGAAAGAGCTGTTGCTTAAAAAAGTTGAAGATGATGACTGGTTAGACCACAGTATTCACCACTTGGCCCATTTCTTGACACCATCTTTTCAAAATCGCCATCATGCAGAAGATGGCTTTGAAACAGAGCATAGGAGAATGGGAAATGCAAAGAAAACAGATTTGATCATTGGAAACAGGAGAATGAAAGATGGGAGCTACCAGAAAGTTGAGCAACACTCAAACGAGATTATGATCTTTATAGTCTTTCCAAGTCTTTTCTAATGGTTTTGGTTGTTGTTTTTCAGGTGTTGATGTTGGTGGATTTTGTTTGCTTGCTTGCTTGGGATGGGTGAGGTTAGAAGGTTCATAAGGCTCATATCTTGTGATCAATCTCCTAAAGATGAATTGAGCTTAGAGAGAGGGATAAAATGTTTACATCTGGATTCTGGTAGCAAATTAGAGACCAAAAGAGGGTGTCCTAATTGATGTTATCACACTCCGGTCTGTAAGTAAGAAAGGAAAAGGACTGTACCTAGCTGTGTTTAGCAGCAGAGGCACTGTGCATGGACCAATGTAGAGATTCCACCCTGTAGCTCTGACTGAAAGTCAAGTGACTGCACACTCCAACTCTACATTCACTGTCTCAGTGCCTGATGACGCCTTGAGAACAAGACTCTTGCATGAGATTGTCTTTTGCAGATTAAACTTTCCAGACTGTAACACAGATCAAAGTAAGGTGTGACTGTTTCCCTGCTGCATTGAGAAGGGAGCAGTGTGAAAAGCAATTAAAAGTATTTCTACATGTTTTTAATTTTTATCTTAGATGATCTTCCCAACAATGGAAACGAATAGTTGAGGGCACCAACCTGTAAACTCCTCTTCCTATGATTTGTGTTTTCACAGCGTAATACTGCAGTAACTTCCAAAAGACATAGAGGCATGAGTTTGGTTGTTCAGATAAACTGAAGTTTAATTGGTGTCCTAAAGTTTCGTCTAGGTTCTGTTGAAGTGGCTGAAGAAAGTCCTCGTCCTGGCTTCACAATATGGCATACCATACAGCAGGTTGATCCTACCACAGTGCATCCTTTGTTAGGAAAGCTTTGGGATGTATGCTGGTGACATTAGTAGATGTGGGAACAAGGGCTCTGTAAATATTTTAACCCAAGTTAGCTTTAAGTACTGCAAGGGGCCATCCTAGACTCTCTGTAGTCAGTTGCTATAGACAGTGGAGGAACTATTCTCTGAAGTATGAGTCAGAGCAAATGTTGGTGCTCTTCTCTGGAGGCTGGAGGCTTCAGTGAAAACACCTATTTCTCCTCACTGTTTACAGAGATAAGGGCCATCTAACTTCAGAGGTTAAGTATTCTAAGTTGCCTTCTGGGAATAGCTGCTATCTCCCATGCATTTGGGCTGTGAATAGACTTGGAGTTGGAGATGTGGCACCCTAAGTCTCTGTATGCCCAGCAAGGCCATAGGGGCAACACCCTAAGCAAGCCCCCTGCAGCCTGAAGTAGTGTTTCAAAAGGTGTCTTTAGTCCATCAAGTGTGATCCAGCGCTTTGTTTATAGCTTAACAATTAAATTAAAAGTACACTGTGAAGTCAAAGTGAAAACACCAGTTGGTCTGGCATGGGATCCATTCACAGGTGCTTTTCTGCCACTAGTTTTTTCCCTGAATTAATCAAAAGTTCAAGAAAACCCACATCAAGACACATAGATAGGGAAAACAAGTTAGCTGGGTCCTTTTCTTGGCTTTCTTCTGTGGGCTCCTGCAAGAACTCACCTCCCTTCTACTGCTTGGGTCTTTGCACAGACTTCAGCACAGCACTCACCTTTCCTGGGTGGGAAATTTTAAGGAACTTAGCCGTACCTATTGTTAGATGTAATGACATGATTCATCTGGAGACTTCTACAGCGCAGACACATCCCACTCAACTGCTCACACAGGGTTTATTCTCTCTAGTCTAGCCAATACATTCAATGGAGGCAAGGCCATGATTCACCTCATCCTAAGCAGATGTCTAAAATGGGGCAGATGAATCGTGCCCTAGAAATGCCTGTTTCTCTCCTCAGACTGATTACAAAGGCAGCTTGGGGTGTGTAGATCGGCTGGAGACATAAGAAGGTAGATGAGATGAGCACAACTCCTAGTCAGTGTCCTTCTACCTGCCTTCCTCTTATTGGGAAGAGTCAGGCACTTCTGGAAGGCAATCCATAGTTGCCTCATATTCCCTCCCCGGAATAGGAAGAACTGTCCTTCAATGTTAGCTGAGATGAATCTTCAACTCAAACCACAGCTGAGGTGGAAAAAGGCCCCTAAGTTATGGAAATCAGCTGAAAAATGTTTGCTTTCACAGACGCCTTTCACCTCATCCATCTAAAATTCATTTACTTGACAGTGTTAGAGCAAAAGAGAGGGGAGACATATTCCCTGGGTGCCTGCTGATAAATTCAAACACACCAGGCTGCTCCCAAATGAAAACCACATAGCAAAAAAAAAATAAAAAATGAAGGTAAACAGAAATACATGCTGCCCAGGCAAGTTTCTGTTTGTCATTAATTCTGAGCAGAAAAGTCAATCAAGAGATTTAATTAGAAGAATAGGAAATTATACTCTAAAAATCCCTTCAGTTTTAGTAATCAAGGTTATTATTAGAAGCACCAGTAAAAACACTTTAAAAATTTATCTAATTAGCTACGTATCTGCTGATCTCTCTGCATAGCTGACTTGTTTGTCTCTAAGGCTTCAACCAACATAATGGTTCGTGGACACTCCTTTCAGAAGACTTCCATTTGGCTCAGCGCAGAATCTGCACTCCAATTGTTGTGGTTTTTTATTTTACTCTGTTCATTTTAACTGGAGCAATTCACAGACTGATGGCCAAAGCAGGTTTTGCATATCCTCGTGACAGCACAGCAAAGCTGGGTTTTATGAAAATGCAACCCTGGTTTTGAAAATTCCCAGATTAAAACTGGTGTGAGAGCGAAGTGCAAATCTGCTGAACTTAATATCCAGAGGCAGACTTTTAATACTTAATTTTTTAAGCAGTTCAAACTGATAAAGCCTTGCAAAACACATGCCTGAACTAAGCAGGTGTGGAAATACTAAAGAGCAAAAAAATCTTTTCCAGAATGTACTTTCAGAGAGGTTACCAATGGATCCATGGATCCAAAATTCCATGCATCCTTGCACTAATGGTCCTAGTAACATGAGTCCAGTTTTTCATAAAGGAGGACAGCACTGATGTTGGACCATCATTAAGCTCAGTCAGGCTTTAAGAAGCTCTCAAGGTCCAACCTGCTCAAATCTTTATGATCAGTCTCAGAAGTTACCTGGTAAGGTTCAAACATAAAGGGCACACAGATTAATTGGGTGGTATTCATAAATTTGTTGTGCTCTTCTGAAGTCTTGGAGTCTTCTACTGTCAGTGTTATTACCTTGTATAGCTCTGGAGGTGCTTTTGATTCTCTGATCCCTGGACTTCCTCAGCTGCAAAGATTTCCAATAAAAATTGCTTGCACTAGTGCAAGTACACTTGGCTTCCAAAGAAAGAAATGTGGCTTAATCTCTTTGCAAGTGGAACTGATTACACAAGGTGAGCATCTTTGGGAAGAGGTGCAATGATGAGAGAATGAAGGAAAGGGAAGGAAGATTTTAAAGGTAGAGCTGCTTGCCTGTTGGTCCTCTAGGAAACTTCAGGAGAGACATAATGATGTTATTTTGGAGAGAGATGACAGTGGAAAGGATGCTCTCTGGTGAGCAGGATGCACGGAGGAACTGAAAATGTTGATTTTCTTTCCCCATTCCTGGAAACCAAATACAAAACTGAATGTCAGACTGACAGCATCTGTTTTCCTTGTGTTTTTTTTTCCAGGTCCTTGGCAATTGGTCACCAGTATTCCTCTCTGGGGACTCAGCCCATCCTCTGTGGGAGCATCCCAGGACTGGTCCCCAAGCAGCTACGATTCTGTCGGAACTATGTGGAGATCATGCCCAGCGTAGCAGAAGGGGTGAAGATTGGGATCCAAGAGTGTCAACACCAATTTCGAGGGAGGAGGTGGAACTGCACAACTGTCAATGACAGCTTGGCCATCTTCGGACCCGTGCTAGACAAAGGTGAGCCCCGTGCCACGTGTTCGGTGAAAGCAAGGACCACAGTGGAATAGCATCAGAGATAAACCCACTGTGAACTTCTTGCTGTGTGATAAAATTCCATGTAAAATGGGCTGGTGGAGACAGGACTGAATTTCATAAGAAGGAGGCAAATGGCAGAGGCAAGAAAAAAATTTTGGGCACAGGACTCTATCCAAGCTTTTCAAACCTGATGCAGAGGCACTTGGTAGAGACAAGAAGAAATGTAAACCTTCTCATAGGGCTGACAAGTAAATCTGTGGCTCTCTGGTGTAAGGTGATGGGCTGCAGGGCAGTGTCTGAATGCAGTCATGGTTGGAGATGGTTCCTAGGGGTTGGACAATCATTGTTGATGCCCTTGTGGGATAAAATGAAGATCAAAAGCCTGAGGAACTCACCCTGAGTCAATGGTGTTGACCATTGAGTTATGGATATGGCAAATTAAAACAAATTCTGACATGGGGCATTGAAAAACTTGGAACAAAACATCTCTAATAGCTCCCATTTATACCAATGTTTTGTCCCAAGTTGTTGAATGTAGTGATGTTTGAGTACTTGACTCTTGATACCATCTGTTCTTTTCACCTATAAGTGAGCAGGGACCTATTTCAGCTCATAAGAATTGTTTCATCCTTCTTTGCCCTTGTATCACACCTTCACAGTCCAGTCTGGGCCTACACTTAATAACATAACAGCAGCCTGCAGAGAACAGAGCTACGATCTGTATTGCAGGGCTTCCACCAGCCCTAACAGGCATTGTACACACACCCAAAGGAGCGTGTGGTTTCAGCTGATGGGTGGATGCTGTTACCCCATTAGAGCTGGGACGCGATGCTAACACCAGTGTCACCATTCAGGTTTATCAGCGATCAGCCCCAAACAATTACACCTGCAGGAGCTGCAGTGTGGTGCGCTTAAGCCCATATCAAGGTGTCATATCACAATGTTTGGCACAGAATTAAAGCAACCATTCCAGGTACATCACTCCCGGGTGACTACAGCATTTGAATTAGGTCAGCAGAGCAAAATATTTTCCCATAGGCACAAGCCCAGGGTGACTTTCCCAAAAGCATGCGCTGGGCACAGGGAGTAAGTGAGCCAATTAACCTAACACCTTTGTCTTGTTTTGATGTCATAGAGTCATAGAATGTCTTGGGTTGGAAGGGATCTGAAAGATCATCAAGCTCCCACCCCCTGCCATGGGCTGGTTGCTCCACACCGGCTCAGGCTGCCAGCACCCATCCAATCTGGCCTTGAGCACCTGCAGGGATGGGGCATCCATGCCCCCTCTGGGCAGCAGTGCCACAGCCTCATCACCTTCTGAGCAAAGAATTTCTTCCTAACATCTGACCTGAATCTCCCCTCTTTTAGTTCAAAGCCATTTCCCCTTGTCCTATCATTAGACCATGTAAAAAATTGCTCCCCCTCCTGCTTATAAGCTCCCTCCAGTACTGGAAGGGCACAATGAGGTTTCCCTAGAGCCTTCTCCAAGCTGAACAAGCCCAATTCAAGGACATGCAGAACATCTTGGGTGAGACGCCTGATGTTATCCCATAGGAATGCTAGCAGGAGAGAAGTGATCTTCACTTTCTTGCTGACCGAAGGGGCTCTGATCCCACAAGCTTTATCTCACAGCTATATCAGCACGAAGGGTCCGTCCGTGCTCGAGTCTGCAGGCTTTCAGTAACTGGGCGCAGCGAGGGAGAGAAGGCTGGGACGATTTCATAACTGAAGAATGTTGTTCCTTGAGGGAGAATCAAACCACCCTTCAGTTTTGCTTCACCTACAGCAGGAGGGGGGAGAAAAAACAGCTCAGTCACATTCTTGTGCGGCAGATCCCCCAGGGTAGGAACATATTTGAGCTCCTACCCAGAAAGAGAGAAGGAGAAACAGAGAAAGAAAGCAAAACTCTGTTTTGTGGCTGGAATTTTAAATCACTCTAGATCCGACTTCAGCTCCCCATCTTTGTCAATAGGGGCCCCATTTTCCACCCCCAGCACAAGATGGTCACTAAAGCAACTCCTTTTTCCCTAACACAACTATCTGGACTTCTTTGGTTGCAAAGGATTGATTTTAATGCCTTCAGGAAACGCTTCCTAGGCCCCAATCTCTCTGAGGCTGCCTCACTGTCTGAGCTGCCCTTGCTGCTTTGCTATCTCATTGCTAATTCAGGGCTAGGCTTGAGTTGTGATTCAGCAGTGCCAAACTGTCACCAGACTGCTCCCCTTAACAGCCATATTCTGATCTGAAACCAAAATCTTTTTCCCCATGAGCCAGTTTGTGGGAAGAAATCCCATTTCTTTTAGCTCCTATAAATATAATATGCATATAAATATATAAATATTGTATGTGTAGTATGTATACATATATATATATATTTATATTTAGCATATCCCTAGCCAGGATGAACGAATCACATATTAAATCACAACGGTATTCATGAGCACATCACAAGGGAACAGTGATGTTCAGAGGATCCAGGCTGACCTCTGGAGACAACACCTGACAGGTACGGCCCATAGCCTTTTAACTCAAGCCATATCAGGAGCAGAAGCCCCACAACCCATCCAGCTATTCAGTCCCTTGTTTTTTTTGCCTGCCCTGCGCAGTTTTGGGGAGAAAATTTCAGATAGGTGCCACCATTGGATCTTCCTTCTGAATTGCTAGGAAATGGGTTTTTCAGGTGTCCTATGCTGATGTACAGAGAGCAGGATGCTCTTGTAGGAAAAGAAGCAGGTCTGATCTCCTTGTTAAACCTACCCAGCTGCACATCAGTTGTGTTAAGCTGCTCCAGTTTCTAGCCTCCCTGAAGTTCAAATCTTAGCTACTGTGGAGAGAACAATAACCTTCACTTGAGCTTTTGTAGCAGAACGAATTCTAGAGGAAAAAAAAATCTGTTCTCATTTGTTTCCTTGGGTCTCATAACGTTTTTTTTCCATCTGTGTATTGTGAGGCAGTGAAGCAGACTGTGGATATAGCCATGCAATGCTGAGAAACCATGCTAGTCAGAGCTGTGCCCGGCAACTTATCTGAGAGGTTGGGCTGTTTGTAAGGCAGTTTCCATAGCTTTCAGTTTCCAAAGGATGAAGGAAAAATGCTTAAGTTGTCTTTAAAAATATGCGGGGTTAAAGTTTGGAGGATGTCATAGAAGGACATGACTTCACCAACAACAGAAAGTGAACCCTGCAACCCAGCGGGCATTTTCCATCTCAGGCTCAAGTGACTATTAGGAGTGGTGCCACTTGACCTGCTTTTAACATTTAGGGACTGAAGACACTATTTATGGTTAAGTTGTGGTGCGTTTTCTCCCCTCTAAGCACAGTGCAAGCTCTCTTTGAGACTCCTCTGGTCAGAAATATGAACCAATTTCAAGAGAAGGAACAATGAAAGCTTCTCGCAGCCTTGTCTCTGTAAAGGACCTCAGCACATAATTAAGTCAAAATAAAAGTTTCCTCGTCTCCTCCCCCTTTCAATAAAAGTAAATTACCTCAAACTATTTAAGTCCCTCGGTTGGTTTAAATTTAAAAAGGGAGCCCTTGTCTGTCTATTTCTTTCACTCACTCCCACCTCCTTCTGCTGAAGACTGGCCGGGGCTCTAAACCTGCCAGATGGGCTGAGAAATGGTTAATAGTTATTGTGGAGGAGCAGCTTTTAATGAACTATTGAAGAATGATACATTGATGGAGTAATGGGAGTTTAAGTCTCTCTGTAATGAAACAGGTTCTCAGCGCGGACCCATTGTGGTGTAAATATGGCACGTCTCTCCCACTGTTTGGTCAGGGCTAAATAGCAAAGGCCAGAGGGGGGTCAGCTTATGGGGTCTCTGCTTTAGTTAATCAATCTGATTGGATTAGGGTCACTGCGATCCCTAATAATGTCAAAGGTTACGCCAAACTGGATTAAATGCTTTGTTGGGGAGGGCTCAGGTTCTTTCAGCTTTCACCGATGGGGCTTGTTTATTAGAGTTTAACACTCGTGCAACCTTTGGAAGCCACTCCGTCTCCTTTTTGTACATCAGGGCATTTGCTGGCTTGCAATGGGGCTCGGACGAGCCGGGGCGGGTGGCTTTGTCAAGCATCTGCGCCCGTCGGATGTGCCCTCTGAGGACATACATCAAATTCCCTGCTGGACAAATGAGAGCCTAGTGGGTGATGTGGAGGATCAGGGGCATAAATTCATTCCGGAAATAATTGTTGGCCCTGCTAGAATGGGAATGACCAAAGCCACAGAAACAGTGGAGTGCCCTGTTGTTCGTGGCAAAGAGATGCTCACTGTGGTATGGTTCCAGTCTATGCAGAGATTGGGATGGGTATGATGTGAAATACAACTTGTTTGAGATCATGCCATTGCTTCAGCTGGGTGGAGGTCTTGCTGTTCAGCACAAATCAAGGTGAATTACTGAAACCTTCACTCATGATCATAGAATCATAGAGAAAGGCCTGGGTTGCAAAGGACTACAATGCTCATCCAGTTCCAACCCCCCTGCTGTGTGCAGGTCACCAACCAGCAGCCCAGGCTGCCCAGAGCCACATCCAGCCTGGCCTTGAATGCCTGCAGGGATGGGGCATCTACAGCCTCCTTGGGCAACCTGTTCCAGTGCCTCACCACCCTCTGGTTGAAAAACTTCCTCCTCATATCCAACCTAAACCTCCCGTCTCAGTTTAAAACCATTCCCCCAGAGGACAGTGCCCTGTAGACAGCAAAGCATTCCTCAGAAATTGATTCCAAATTGCTTTCTTGGTGGCCATCTGGCAAAGGAAAGGGTCAGCAATAATAGCATGTTATTGATACAGATGCCTCTGCCCTCCTTCCATTGCTTTCTTTCCTGAAGTAGTGTTGATGTTTAAGGCACAGCAGGACTGCCAGTGCATCTAGATTTCTTGCATGGCGCATGCTGGAGCATTTCACCTCCAGACTTCTGGAATGACCCCCAAATCTGAATCTCACTAGGACATCTCTTTCCAAAAGATGCCTTATCTCAACGT